GATACTGCAGCGACTGGCTGCCCGCATGCTCCTCGGGCACATCCCAGCGCAGCAGAGCGCTCACATTCGGCGCCAGCTGCAGCGGCACCGCCTGACGCTCGACAAAGACGCGCAAACGTCGCGGCTGCGTGGGCGCCGCAACGGGCGTGTCCAGCTGCACCCGGGTGGTGGGTCCGGCGCGCCAGGCGGTGTGCGGCGTGATGCTGATGCGCAGACCGAGCGGCGCCTGGGCCAGCTGTGTGATGCGGGCAAACGGCGTGAGCAGCTCCAGCGTGATCAGACGCTCGCTGCCGTGCTCCAGCAGCAGCTTGTAGCAGACGCTGTGATTGCCGCCGCTGGCAGCAGGCTGCCAGCGTACACGAAAGTCATTCCAGTGGCCGCCCTCGTCGATGTGCACGCTGTCCGGCGGCACGGCGAGCGGACGCACGCCCTCATCCGGTGGTGGTGGCGGCGGCCCAGCCGAACGCTCCAGCAGCTGCACGGCGCTGAGCGGCTCGACCAGGCCCTCCGGCAGCAGGCGCATTGTATCCGTGTCTATATCCAGTTGCGCCGCGAGGCGCAGCAGATGCGCGCCCCGGCCATCCGCCGCCAGCCAGAGCAGCGCTCCCAGCGGCGCCAGATGCTGCAGCGTATGCGGCAGTGCATCCGCCGCCGGCAGCGTGGCCAGCAACTGCAGTGGGGCGGCGGCCTGACTGCCGCCCGCCGACAGCGCTGTGCGATAGAGATGCAGCGCCGAGTTGCCGGCGACCAGCCAGTAGATGTGTCGCTGCGGCAGATCAAGACAGAAGCCGCTAATCCGGCCGGCGAGTCCATTCACATGATAGTACTCCAGCTCCGGCTGTTGGGTGGAGAGAGCGCTGAGCGAACGGCGCGCCAAATGCGCCGAGCTCGAGTAGTAGAGATGTCCCTGGGCCGAGTCGAGGGCCAGATGGCGGGCGCCAAAGATAGGCAGCAGCTCGCGCTCACCGCTGAGCGGATCGAGACGCTGGACACAATCGCGCGCCAAATCCGTCCAGTAGAGCAGACCGCCGCGCCAGTCATAGGCAACGGCGCCCACATGCTCCAGCCGCTCGTCGGTGCAGCTCAGCTGCGGCTGCAGCAAATTGACGCAGTGCAGCGACTGCTCCCGCCCGCTGACATAGTACGCCACGCTGGCATTGACCAGGGCCAGCGGCCCGGGCGACGATGCCAGCTGCACGGGCAGCGGCTGCAGCTGGCCGCCCAGCTCGTTCGTGGTGTACAGCGAGCCGCGCTGCGTGGCCCAGCGCAGGCGATGATCGCCCAGCGGCCAGGTGCGCGTCGCCAGCGGCGCTGTCCAGACGCCCGCCCGGCCGGCCGCATTGTTGGCGCGCACGCGCAGCTGATAGAGATTGTCCGCCTGCAGGCGCTCCAGGCCAAAGTGGGGCACACGTATATTGCGTATATTGTAGGCGCTCTGGCTGGCCACGTCCAGCACCTCCAGCTCGTAGCTGTAGTTGCGCGCGGCCGCCGCTGCCGTCTGGTAGGGATTAGCTGCCGGCGGCTGCCATGTTATGTGCGCCGCCTGCGCTCCTAGCAGGGCGCGCAGCTCACGCGGCGCCGGCGGCTCTAGCGCCAGCGGCTGGCGGCGACGTTCCAGCGGCAGCAACGCGCAGCAACCGCCATCCGGCGACCAGTTGGCAAGCGGCGCCAGCGTCTGTCCGTCCAGCAGCTGCAGCTGTGTCTCATTGGCCAGTAGCAGCTGTGCCTGATCGCTGGACCAGGCGAATCCGCGCCAGCTGTCGTTGGATAGCGCCAGAGCATGCTTATGCCCGCCATCGTAGCTCAGCTCCAGCAGCTGATTCTCCTGCGGCAGCAGCACGTGCAGCAGCCAGCGCTGCGGCTCCAGCATGAAGCGTCCGGGTGATTCTGGCTGTGTGAGGCGCAGCGACTGCTTGCTGCTTAGATCGAGACGCCAAAGGCTCTCCGCATCGCACCAGAAGAGCCAGCCGTTTAGGGCGTCCAGCTCCAGCTGCTCCACGACCAGGCCCAGCTGCACGCCCGTCAACTGCACATCGCCGCCCTCCAGATTGCTGCTAAACAGCTCAAATCGTCCTCCTTCTCCCCCGCTGCTGCTGTTCGCCTGCGCTGCTATGTAGAGGCGTCGCTGCAGCCAGTCCAGGCTCAGCTTGCGTGGCGTCCACTGGCTGCTCCCATTTGAGAGCAGCTCCAGCCGCAGACGCCGGGCAGCGTTTGTCGTCGTCTCATCTAGCAGCTGGCTGTAAACAGAAAAGTACGAATCTTAACTGAAGTAGAGCTTAGATTTTGGTCGATATACCAGCGGGTAGACCCGGCCTAGCCCGGCCTTGCCCGTGGCGCCTATAAAATAAATTCTCTTAAAGATCTTTGAAAATGCCAAGAAAAATATTGTCATATTTATTGATCTACAGGCCAAACCATGAACAAAAAGCCAAACCTTATGAAAATCGATTGAGTTTTGGCCGAGTTATGGGAGTGGGAAATTTTAAACCAATCATTCAATCAGTCAATCAATCAATCAGTCAGTCATTCAGTCAGTACAAACAGTTTTATATTTAGAGATTGACTAATAAAATTATCAAGGCATAGCCTAAGCTAGTCTAAGCTGAAGCTGAACTAAAGCAAATATATTGTGAATGACTGTCTGATTGACTGACTGACCGATTCGATGATTGACTGAAAATCAACCCACAAGCTGCTTTTAACTGTAGCTGACCTGAAGTAAACACAATACAATAGTCTATCTACATGTGCCTAACTGACTATTTAATGAAAAAAAGATTGATTGACTGACTGATTGACTGATAGACGGATTACCTGACTGGTGATCAACGCACACCCCAGCTGATCTTAGCTGTATCTGAACTGATATAGAGCCATAATAGAAGTATATCATTTGATGACTGACTGATTGACTGACGGTTGATTGAAATGTAGCCTAAACTATCAATTTTATTGGACAACCTGTAGCTGTAATAGACAATTTACTTTATTGATTGATTTTTTATTAGACTGATTGAAAGATTGACTGACTGATGATTAAGGAACAGTCACATTTGATCATACTAAATTATATATTCATTTGACTGAGTGATTGAATGATTGACCGACTGACTGACTTAACTGGCTGAACAAAATGTGGTCTTGGCTATAGCTTAACTGCAGCTCTCCATCCATATATGACTGACTGATTGACTGACTGAGTGATTGACTGACTGATGATCTACGCACAGCCTAAACGCAAATAGCTAGCAAGCTTTTTCTACTGTAGAAACTTTACGTAGTTTCCACTCGAAATCTTACAACAACAAAAATCTTCATTCTCCAATAGATAATTGAAGAGGGACTGTATTGGCACATTGCTCACCTGTGCAGCTGACCCAATTCGTCCAGCAGCCAGAGCCGCTGCTCGCGCTGCGAAAAGGTAAAATCGCTAATGGCCGCCGGCTCGGAGGTGTAGAGGAGACGTGTCTCGCCCGCTGGCTCCAGTGATTGCCAGATGATGCTGTGCTCGCTCGCAAGCAGCACGCTCTGCAGCTGCTGTGGCTCCAAGGGCGACTTGGTCACAATGCTGACCACCGTTGACGGTCCCTCGCCCTGTTTGTTGATCATGGTCAGCGCCACGGTGTAGTTGGTGAGCGGCTGCAGCTGGGCAAAGATGCAGCTAGTACGTTGAGCAGGCAGCAGCTAATAGAGATGAGGGTTTAGATTTGACAGCTTGGCAGTTGGAGCTCGTGACGTACCTGTTCGCGGCTGGTGTTACCTGCGCTGGTCAAGAGCAAGCGGTAGCCTTCAATGGGCGCATTGCTGTAGCGTCCGGGACGCCAGTGCACGGCCACATGATGCTCATCCAGCGCCAGCAGTGCCTCGATAATGGGCGCCGAGATGGGGGCGCCCTCCATCGGCGTTTCGTAAACAGGCGTCGCTGGCGAATAGAGCACATCCTCGCTGCTCTCCCCAAAGGGCAGCTCGAAGCGAAACTAAAAAAGAGTTCAAATTTAAATCTCCAGAGATTTCAGTTAATATATGTTGGACATACCTTGTAGCGGGTGTAGGGCACAAGCGCCTCCAGAATCTCGCATACGTAGTACTCATCGCAATCGTAGTCCGCCAGATTGTGCCATTCAGGCTCCGATTGATTGTCCACTTGCTGGTATTGTATATTAAAGGGTCGACTGGCCAAATAGTTCTCCGGAAACTGCATGGCCCATTTGATGGTCAATGTGCTCGACTCATCCGTCATCTCTAACAGCTGCGGTTGCGTTGTCTCCACCAACCGAGCCATGGCCAGCCGCTGCATATGCCAATAATCGCGCTGCGCCGTCTCGCAGGCTCCAATGCAGGGCATATCGTACGGATAGAACTGCGTGGAAGCCTATCAAAATAATGCAGTTAAGAAGCTATCATTAAAACGGCAGCCGTCAGATGTCACTCACACAGGCCTCCTGGCAGGGCTCGATCTCCTTCAGCGCGCGATACCATTGCGCACAGCCCTTGTTGCACTGCAAAGAGAGATTACGATCAGATTTGTTCAGGTTGAGTTGCCCAATCAGGGCAAAGTGAGGCTTATCTAAAGTCAGCTGAAAGTTTCGTCAGCCTTAAAAGCCTTAAAATCAATATCAGTGCATTACAAGAGTAGACTAGGAGATACCCTGTGCAACTGTGCTTTATCTTTAACTGAAAAGGCTCTAGTCGGGAGTTCTCGACTAGGGAATGGCCTCTTCAGTTAATTCCAAATGCAGACAAACTAAAGAAATTTAAAGACAAACTATAATAGTTCGCTCAATCAGATCAAGAATATATATACTTTATGGGGTCGGAGATGCTTTCTTCTGCCTGTTACATACAATACCCATTTTGAATGGGTACAGGGTATCTGGGTGTTGCTAACTAGATGCCTTTTGCTTGCTTTCAGCAATTTTTTGAGCAATTTAAGCATGTAGGACATCAAAAGCAGAGCCAACTTTTTTCCCATATTTCAACTATTTCACACTCGACACCTTTTACCTTTAGGCGTACACAATTCAGATAACTAGTGAGCTGTTAGACTATGCTCTGAAAATATAATTTATGTTCAATAACTACTCTTGTATTTCGTGATAACAAAATTCCATGTTATTATTAGGTAAGTACAAGTCAGTCGTAAGCGCAAGCCAAGCTCACAGCCAAATTCTAGGTAAGCTCCATTGTACCCGAATGGATTGCTGTAAAACTCAAACGGAAATTAACCGCAGGATTCGATGCCTCGCAAGCAAACTAATTGAGAGCCGACAGCAGCATTTACAATTGTTGTTCGACGGTTTCCTTTGCTGTCTGGAGCTGGAGCACGATTGGCCGCGCCTGATGCACTTTGAGTTCGTGTGCAACTAGCTAAGCAAGCTCACGGGCATGGCGACAATTAAAAGCCAGTAAAAAGCTGCTCAGCCGTGTCGCTTGGTAACTCAATCACATCTCCCTCCCTCCTCACTTCCTCAACTGGCTGTGGTTAATCCGAAATACATGTTAGGCAGAACTGGCTTGATTATCGAATGTGTTTATGATTTTCCTTAACAAGTGCCTGACGGCCTTACCGCTGGCTATCCTTAGCTTGCCACTCCTGATACCCTGTAACTGTTGCTAGTGTGTGTCAAACGGGCATATGGCATTGGTGAATAGGCATGTAAAAGACAAAAGTTATCTTCTTTTTTCACTTGTCCCGAAATTTGTTAGAGTTTATCCTTGCCATCTGTTAGTATTGGACTACCATATCATAATGCAAAGTAGAATCCATCGCAGGACTCGGCAGTTGCGAGCTTTACAGAGCTGTAAGCTATAGATATATATAGCAGGGTATTTGATCTTCCACTCCATGGAAAGAGTCAGTCTTGCCAGAAATTTGTTGTATGTATATCCTTGCTTTCAGTTATCATTGGAATACTACATCATATAGATCCTATGGCAGGATAGAGTAATTTGTGGGTTTTCAAAATATTCTCATCAGTTACGAGCTTTATAAAAGGTTATTTGATCTTCTGCTCAATGAAGACAGACATCCTTGCCATTCTTTTCGTGAGTTTGCTTTAGTATATTCCCCTTTTTGGGCCGTAAATACGTTTCGTTTTTGGTTTCTGGGAATATGTTCTTGTTGTTTTTTTTATGGGTCATTCGGTCGGTCGGTCGGTCGGTCGCTCGGTCCGTCGTCACGTTGTCTGGCAGAGTTTAAAGGTGGGTTTCAATTACGCGACTTTGTGGCCTTTTGCTGAGTTGGGGGCAATGCGCGGGCAGGTTGAGAAGGGGGCTTGTTGTCAAAACACTTGACACCATTTCGGCGAGGGGGACGGATTGGTTTTTGGGGTGGGGCAGACTTACGCGTGTTTTATAGCACTTGTCGCTGTTGTCGGCCTTCTCGCATTTAATGCCAAACTCGTCCAGAAACAGATCCTCCTGGAAAAAAACGAAAGAAATCCAAGTGAAAATCAATTAGCACAAAGCGCCCCGATTTGCAACGGAAATGCCGCAGCCAACAGGGGCAAGGAAAGAGTTATGGGAAAGTAAGGGGAAATCCAAATCGTGGGAAGAATTTCGATTCAATGTCAATGACAATGAATGAATTTACAATCTTTAACAATTATTGATAAAAAACAATGTGGAAAGGCAAGAATTGGCTGGACACAGTATTGCCAAGATAGCTATTTTCAAGCTAAATATAAGCAAGAAAGAGAGAGAGAGAGAGAGAGAGAGAGAGCGAGAGAAAGAGAGAGAGATAGAGCAAGAGAGAGAGAGAGAGAGAGAGAGAGCAAGAGAGAGAGAGAGAGCAAGAGAGATAGAGAGCAAGAGAGAGAGAGAGAGGGAGAGAGAGAGAGAGAGCTTGGGACAGTATGTTGGCAATTCAGCTATTTTCTAGCTAGACTTGACTTTTTACTAACTGATTACAGCAAAGAGAGAAATCAGCTATTTTTTGTTAGGTACACTTGCCTATTTTCAAGCTAAATATAGCCAAGCTAATGTATTACTATTTATTTAACTAGAATTTTCTATTTGCATCCCGGTAATTCTATTTTTTTCTATTTTATTTAGCCTTTTTTCTAGGTTTATTGAAAAAGAGAGGCTAGTGTGTTTTCGATTTAGCTATTTTATAGCGAGACTTGGCTATTCTCACTAACCGAAAACTGTTAACATTTGCGTGTGCCTGACTATTTCTGGCTTTTTTTAAGCTGTCTTACCGCTACCTTCTAGCTTTCACAAAAGATCAAATTTAGCCATTTTCTAGCTAGAGTTTCTTACCCAAAAACATGATATTTGCTGACATTTGCAAGTGTCTGCTAGTTTGGCTATTTTATAGTCAAACAAATATGACTATTTTAAAACTAGATATGGCTATTTTCAGCAAGAAAACATAAAAATATGCAGCTGTGGCTATTTTAAAGCTAGCTTTCTGGCGTATCTGAAGCGCCTGAAGTTCTGGCTATTTGTAAGCTGATTAAGCTCCTTTTCTGGCTTTTTGTGCTGCCATTTACAACCTAGAATGGGCCGTATTTCACACAATTTGCAATTGCCTGCAGTTCTGGCTATTTTGCAGCTAATTTATTAGGTTAAACTTTTTTTTGAAAAGAAAACTCCGCAGCGCTTTTGTAGATCACCCTGCTTAGGTAATGCTGCTTTTTTTTGTAGCTATTTTAATGATTTGATTTAGCTACTTTTCTCAAGTGACAGCCGCCGACTCAAACATAGACCCAATTATTGACTTTAGAGGCATTTTAACAACCGCTGAGAATATTCGCGCATTACGAATGCATAAATCTATTGACCAAATCGACATTTAACGGGCGTCACGCCAAACGAGTTTCTGCCTTTTTTTCTCTTTCTTTTCGCTTTAAGCACGTGATCGAACGTAAAGAGATCTCCGACTCGGTCCGCAAACGATCAATTCATTGTTGTTGAGGCGAGGGGCAGCCAAAAATAGCGACATGCCAATTCAGAGCGAAGGCAAACAACTCGAGAGCTTCTCGAATCTTGGTTAACCTAGTAATACATAGTAAAATAATGGATCAAAGGTCTTTAACAGGTAAATTTCTTACAGACGAGCGCAGTTAATAGTCTTTCTGAGCATTAAAGCTGCGAAACAACAAGCTATAAAAAAGCCCTTATTTATGCCAAAACTCAATGCAAAGTCCAACCGAATACTAAATTATATTCAAGTTTTTATAATATTATCTCATCTTAAACAACTCAAGTGCCTACAAAATGTCAGTCTTTGGAGAGGTTTAAAGCTTATAAACTTTTGGGCATCGCAGTTTGATCAATTTACCGATCTTAAGGCTGGAAATTACATATAATTGAGCTTATATAGAGGTTATAGTCGGGAGCTCCCGACTAGGGGATACCCTGAACCCTCTTCTTCCAACATCAAATGCATATATATATTCTATTTTAGAAGCTATATGTCAAGTTTGGTGACTCTAGCTCTTATTATTTACCAAAATTGCCCAAAAAACAGGATATCGATATCGATTTTTATCGATTGCTTGGAAACGGAGTGAGTTATCGAGTATCGGAAACAACCTCGGTTTGCGCAGGCACTAGGAGCACCTATATCTAAAATTTCTCTAGCTCTTATAGGTTCTGAGATCCTTGCGTTCTTACTTACGGACGGACGGACGGACAGACGGACGGGCATGGCTAGATCGACTCGGCTATTGATGCTGATCAAGAATATATATACTTTATGGGGTCGGAGATGCTTCCTTCTGCCTGTTACATACATTTGGATTTTGCAAAAATACAGTATACCCTTATACCCATTCTTAATGGGTTCAAGGTATAATGACATATGTTCTGCTTGCAAAAGAGAGTTCTATGCAAGCTTTCGAGACAATAGCTTTAAAACTAAGAGACTAGTTCGCTTGGAGAGAGACAAAAGGATAGAGGGATATAGATATATCTGTTGAATATAACCCATAAAGTGGGACATTCAGAGATGTGTTTTTCTATGCGTTGCACATTTGATGACAAAATTATAATACCCTGTACGAGGGCATATAAGCTTACAATCAAACAGAAATTTTGCCCACTAGGGAATCAAATTTTCCAAATTTTCCTTAATAAAATTCACAATTCTGAGTCTTTAGATTGAACGTGGATCGTTGGTCCAATCAGCAGTCAGTCAATCATTCAATCACAGATATAGATAGGCGAATATAGTTGGAAGAAAGTTACCAAAAAATGTATACAAATATTTATATAATATTCTACTTAGTTTAGGTTGAAATATTTTGGAATATTATGTAAGTTGGAATTAGCTGGTTATCGATAACTTTTTATCGAAATGAGCGCAGCCAACTTCAAGTCGCAATATAAGAGCTAACCCCTAATTATATAATATAACATTTCAATTCACGTTTGTTTACAAAACCCTGTGAAGCTAATCTCATTCTTGTTGAAGCTACAATTAGCTGCAAGAAATGGTTAACGATAACTTTTTATCGGAATGAGCGCAGCCAACTTCAACTATTAACAGCAGTAGAGCTAGTCTCTCGGCTAATTAACGTAGTGCTCGTAGATAACATTTCAATTCACATTTGAAGCACCTCTCATTCTTGTTTTAGCTTTCGCTTTAATTGGAATGCTCGGCATTAAAAGTGAATATTACAGTGCTTAAAATGGCAACATCTGTAAATTGTGTACTGAAACTTGGCTAACGAATTTATAATTGCCCTCAGTTTCAGTTACGGTTCGGATTTCATTCAGCTAGGGGCCAGGTCCCCTTTAAGCTCCGCCTTATCGCATGCAGCTTTTACTAAACTGATTCATTTAGCCCAACACACACACACACACACACACCCAGACTAAGTATTTTTCTTTTCAGCTGTGTTTTTTTTCGCACACGCGTCAATTTAATTTAGAATTCTACGTAATATTTTATTAATTTAGCTTGATTGGCTTTTTCACAAACAGCGCACAGGGCTCTGCGAGTGTGTGAGTGTGTGTGTGAGTGTGTGAGAGTGTGTGAGAGTGTGTGAGAGTGTGTGTGAGTGTGTGTGGCGACTTCATGCGATGCTTAGGCGCTGCTCGCAATGGCCATTGAGATGAAAGATGCAGGCGAACAGAGGGCTGAGTGGGCTGAGGTTGAGGGGGCGGGGCTTGCTAATTGGCGTTGGGGGTTTTCATGTCGTCATTGCGCGTCTTTTGTTGTACAATTTCTATTACATTAACTGTCTCACTGATTGACTGATTGACTGACTGACTGACTGACTGACTGACTCACTGACAAACCCACTCACACACTTGAGAGCATGTTATTGACACAATTTGTTGCTGTTATGCCGCCTTGCAGTCCGAAAATCCAAACAAGACAAGACGCTAATCGGCAGTGCCCGACTAGGATATACCCTGCACCTACAAGCAAACCCTTCTATACACACACCCACACACACACACACACACTCATGCAAGCAACGGCTGCTTCATCCATGCCGAAATATATCATACATATTTTGCGAATGTAAAATATGTTGCCTGTACATTTTCCCATAA